AGTTCATTTCTGATACCAATGTTTATAATAACTGTAGAAGGTGAAACTTGTAACCAGTCTGAGATTACGTCCTCTAAATAGGTAGCCATCCCTAGCTTTAGTATTTCAAATTTTCGGTTGTCTAAACACAATTCATTTGCCTCAGAATCTGCTATTTTAAGGTGAAAGTATTTTTGGTAGCAAAATTCATAAAGTAGGCAAAAGCCAAGGACTTAGCTATCCTAAATTTGAACGCTGACTTACCAGAGCTTACTAATTGTAACCTTTGGTAAGAAGCTTAATTTTTTTTGAGCTTCAGTTTCCTTATGTGTAAAATGGAAATAACAGTAGCTACCTCATGCAGTTAACCTAAAATTTAATTATGTCTAAAATCACATAACAAAGTGAATATTTCTAATGCTTAAAGTATGAAATGAAGCCACAACATTTATAAGTTAATTAGTAAGTGTCATTTGCATAGAGTTGTTCTTAGGTTGACAATTAAAATAGGTGTCTGTAAGTGCCAAGGTTCATCGCTGTCATGCAGTTATTTGATAACATTGTATAAATTTGAAACAGCTAGAATTCCAGGATGGGGAGAAGATAATGGGAAGGCAATCAACTTCTTTATGGAGAGGTCCATAAAGTATTTCCTCATAATAAAATTAACATTGTATATAGTGTTCTTATAACTTATAAAGTTCTTTTATAACTTAAGAAGTTCTTTTACGTAAAATTTAAAAATTTTGTCTATAGTATTTTTCATGTCTATAGTGTAGACTAATACTAAAGAAGAGTAAAAGGACACCTTAGAGGTTGGCTAACATTTTTGGGCTTATATAGCTAGCGGTCAGAATGGAAATTCATATTAAGTTTTCAACTTCAAGTCTTGTCCGTGTGGCCTAGTATACCTGCATGCACCACTCAGGCTGAGGTAGGATGATTGGAGTTTCTGGTCCAGTCATCCAATCTCAAAAAAAAATTTTTTTTTTACTTCAACATACTGTGTCCTTAATAGTAACCTCATTTCTGAGGCAGGCATATATTATAAAATCTCTAGGGATTTAGGTACTGTACGTATAATTTTTTTTTCTCTGTTGAGACAGAATGTACCCCCAAATGGTTCAGCTGTCCATCTCTGGGTAAAGTCATTACTGTCTTGCTGCTAGCCAACTGTGGTAGTTCAATCTTGTTCCCTTTCCCGTCCTGTAGTGTTGACTCCTTAATTCCAGGTGGTGGTATCAACATGAATGTTTTCTGTTGATTGTTTCCAGGTTTTTAATAATCTAATCTTTTCCCAACTATCTGGAAGGTACTTCCGTGCCTTGGATTTAATGTTATTTCCAGACTTTACTTGATTGTGAATTTATCACATCACCGGTAACTTTTTCACAGTTTTGAAACTTAGTTCCCATTATGAAGGCAAAAGCCCAGAACTTTTCTTCGAGTGAGAAAGAACAGTCTAATGTAAGTGATAGGATAGGGGAATATTCTTAACAAACCTTCAGGTAGGCAAAATTTTATCACATTGCATTGAATTTTCCAAACTAAAAATGTTTGCCAGACGTACTAAGACAGTTTAAATTAGAAGCAGGACATGAAATTTTGGAAATTAATTTGTAGTAGTAATTGTATAGTAAGAATGGTCTTTCAATTTGCTTATGACAATGCAGTTGACAGTTGATGGTTATAATATGTTAACATTAGGTTTCAATTTTCTGAGCACTGATAGTTCTACTAGAAGTACAGTGAGTATTGGATTGCTTCTGTCCGAAATCAGCGTGTTTGGTATGATTTTGTATATAGTTCTCCCTTTCCTGATAACGAAAAATTCAGTTCTCATTTTCATTATGGAGGCTTAAAGGAGCTTAGCTTAAAACTATTGGTTTCAGTATAGTATTCTAAATTACACTAAAAAGACCTTTTAAACGTAATTCCTACAAATTATCTGATGGATAAAACTTGCCCCATCAGTTTTAAAATAGTGTAATGTACAGTATTCCAAAAATATACTGTGTAATTCTGTTAATCATGTAGATTGGATTTGTCTTTGTGTACAAATTTTCTTATAAATAGGATAAGATCAGAAATGATAAAATTAATAAAATGTTTTGATTTTTAACTATGTATTAAAATTATTCTCAGGTTTTTTTTTTTTTAACAGTGGCAAAGTTGCACATTTATTAAAGGTAGGGATAAAACAGAATGGTAGAGGTAAAAACAGACTCTGCAGAGTGATATTGAGCTAAGTAAAAAGGGAGGAAAATAAAAATAAAAACATACTCTACAGCATAGGGTGGGCTACCATGAAGAGTCACAAGAGAACATATGAGAACATACGTCAGAGAGCAACTGTCCCTTTTTTATATTTCACACACTGGTGTCCTGTCAGAAACCTGTTTGAGTGCTTGTGAGAAGTTGGCGTGCAGAGCTCTGAGAATTGTTTGGCACCTGTGCCTTGAGATCTTGTCATGCTTCCTTTAACCAACCTATCTTCCTGCCTCATTCATACCCCATAATTCTTTATGAGGTACTGAGAGAATGGAGATCTCTGTCATCTTACAGATATTTCCAGCTGGAAGGGGCTGTAGTTCCTGCTTAATGGGGATCTTGTGCTCTCCAACTACCTTGAGGTATTGTGGCTCACTGGCTAGATTGCAGAGAGAGAAAAAAAAAAGACAGTGTGAAAAGAATTAATGACCATTGAGCTGTCTATTTGGTGGGAGAAAGAAACTTTACCATTAGCCCAAATATAAGGAATAGATCAGATTTCCATGCTTCCTTTGAAGGAGAACATGTGTCAGAGAGTGAGATCAGATAAACTGTTAAGAGCCTGACAGCCATGGCCTTAGCAAGATCCCATTTACTTATCTGTAGCAGCACTGGAGTCTTGCTTTTTGAAGAGAAATCACAGGTCTTCCAGAAGTTCAAAAGAATAGCTTTTTTCTTTTGGGTGGTCTTTTTCTTTAGACAGTTCAAGAGGGACTGGCTTTATCTAGGATCCTCTGAAAGTCAGCCTAGCTGTTCTTTCCATTGCTGCATATCTTCCCCACTGATAAGGATGTGGCCTAGTGGTAAAGTTGGTGGAATCTGCAGGGCATGGTTCATATGGTTTTCCTTGGCTCATCATGGGGCCTGTTCTCCTTGCTGGCTAAGCCAAAATATTTGCTAGGGCCTAGGGTACAGGAGTCTCCTTTTAAAGATGATTTCTAGGTCCTTTCTGACATAGACAAAGAATTAAACAGAATAAGCATGAATGGTGGCAAAGTTTCACATTTATTAAAGATAGGAAAAAACAAGAGTAAGGGGAAAATAGGATCTGCAGAGCAAGTTTGAGCCAAGTAAAAAGGAAGGAAAAATAAAAATACACCTGACAGCAGAGGGCAGGCTACAATAGCCGAGTGTTTTAAAATAAAGATTTCAGTAAAGAAATGAGACCTAGTCATATGTCAACATGGAAGTGTTGTAAGAGAGTTACTCTTCCAACAACGCACTATTCAACAGCCTGTAGTTAGTCATTTCTACTTCCATTTAGTGTTGGAAATCTTCTACGTGGGTTTATGTGGCAGTATGGTTTCATGTAATTTTCTTGATTTATGAGTGTGATTTGTAGGTTCCTTTATGCTTACATCAGGATGCATTGCTAATATATTTTAAAAAGTTGAAAATGTGATACCCTCGCCCATTAATTGTGAAACACAATTCCTTGCCACACTTAACTCTGAAAATAAGATGTGTCTTAAGATCAGTGTTGTTGCCATAATTTAATGGAGGCATCTTTTTCTTACTTGGTGATTTATTTTTTTAAAAAAACTCATGTTATATACTCACTGATTGGATAAAAAGCAGTGGTTGGCCAGGTGTGGTGCTGAATGCTTATAATCCGAACACTTCAGAGGCTGAAGGAAATCTCATTATTCTACAAGTTGAAGGAAGTGATAATATAGGACATTTTGTATTTATCCAGCTTTGCTTATCCAGAAATCTTATCCTAGTCAAGGATAAGTTCTAATTGTAGTATAGTAGTTTATGAGTTACACAGTCGTTAGCTAAAATAACTCCTAACATTGCATAAGTTCAGCTGGTAAACTCTTCTTTCTAGGGCCTTACCTTCTTCCATAGAAGTTGTCTTGTTACCACCTCCAGTTTATACCTTCCCTTCTCTAGACCAGATAGTCTGTGGTTCCTCATTGTGCGGTCTCAAGATGAGTAACTACAGAGGAAGCACATGCTCTTGAACAGTTTTTATTTATACTCTTTAGTAATGGCATTTTTTCTGTCCTTTGAAAGAGTCAAAAGATAATTGGGTAACACTGTATTAGGCAAGATCCCTTTCAAAAATTAAAATTTAGCATTAAAATGTAATTTAAATTCAAATTTCAGTATATAGCACAGTTTATTATAAACAGAAAGAACTTTTTTTAAAGGCACATTTGCTGTATTAAAAAGGAGGTTATCCCTGGAGTACTTAAATACACCCCTAAAAGTTTTTAAAACCTGCAGGACTCCCTGGAAGCTACCGTAATTGCCCTGGAGTTGACTTGGGAAAGATTATGAAGGCTTGGTGCTTCCATGCTTAGTCTTCAAGTTTCCAAAAGTTTCTTTCAGAAATTACACAAAAGCTTTGTCTTTCCTTTGCATTGTCTTGAGTTAATCAGCTTTAAATATGTCTCATGTTGTTATGTTTTATCATGTCTTTTCACCTGTATTACACTCTAAAGTTTTTAACTGTCTTGGGCACCAAACTAGTATTGATTAGTAGGGGGGGAAATGAATTACAAATAATTGATTTACTTTTGCAAGTTGGGGAATTTTGTACTATTTTTGCTTGCTGTGATGCCTCAGTAACGTGGAAATGGAAATGTGAGACCTGTCTGTGGGTAAACACTATTCACTCATTTATGAATAATATTTCAAATACAATTGTTGAGTTTTATATAGTTCTGATAGATTTGCCAACTATTGGTAGGATTGCTGTTTGATGGCTAATGTTATTGCTCTGAATTTTTTTTCCTCTACAGAGGATGTGCTGAGTAAAGATGCTGGGGAATGTGCAATATGCCTTGAAGAATTGCAGCAGGGAGATACTATAGCACGACTACCTTGCCTATGCATATATCATAAAGGGTAAGTTTATGTTAGCCAAATTGGTATTGGAGTAAAAGATTGTGCTCAGAGTTTCAAACATTATGGTTTGGAGCTGAAAGGTTTCTGGTTTGTTAAAATCCTTCCCCTCAACTTCTTAAAAAGTAATGGCCTTTTTTTCCCCCTGCTAAGCTCAGACTTGAACTCTCATAGGTTATATCC